ATATGAAATACAGCTGTACCAATTGGAAACAACGAATAAATATTAATATAAATTAAATGCGTAGACAACAAATTGGTTTTATTCAAGTTCCTACTTGGTTGTATTCTCCGTTTACTTCGACCGATAAGAGATAATATGATATGAGAATACGAGAACACCACGGAATTTGGAGATTGAGCAGAAACTACTCGTTTAATAATGACACACGCTATCCGATTTCTCTCCGTTATATTTTTGGCGACAAAAGAATATGAGCAACTACGATGACAACTACGTAGGCATCAACTCGTGGTAATCTCGGAATGACACGACGGTTAACATTAAATGATAGTTGATAGATCGATCTGGGAAATTAACACCAATGGGGAATGGCAATTCGTATTATCTGCGATGTTAAAATCTACAGATTAGTCTTCTCATGTGTATGTATAACGTGTACGTGAACATATGTACGTATGTATATGTTTCGAGGAATCTTTCTCTTATGCTTTCTCCTCCGTTCGTCGATAATTCTAATTCATTCGGCTGGGTTTTCTTTTAATGCCAGTAATGTCGATAATATTATACACTGTATATATACTATATAATAAACATAACGAATCCGTGCAACGACCGATACGTCTGAAGACATTATTCGTTTAAGATTTGATGATCACTAAACAAGCCGTTCAATAAAACTTGCATCATAATCATTCGCGTGTCGTTGAGATGGAAATGTTTGATGTTATAATCATTATATCTATTTCTAAACCCCACAAACAAAAAACTTCAAATCATACTCTACTAAATACTTTAGAAATACAGATGCAGTCTCATACCCTTACTTGCAAATTATGATCATCACCGTTAAGAAAAAATTCTAAACGCGTTTGGCTACACGTTTCGATACGTGAATCACGAGAGATCTCACTCTTGGAGCTAGACGAGCGGCTGCGTGACAAGTTAATTTGTAACATTTAACTTCGCTTTTGTTTCATACAATATAAACGGACGTGCAGATGTATCGAGTGTCATCTACACATCCGATCGGACTAAGCAAGGGAAGAACAATCAATCGCAAGTACAAAAGCTTCTTAACGGTTCTTTTCTCAATTTTTTTTTGTTTTCTTTCATGTTTTCATTTTTTCTAACATCAAAACTCGACAGTGAATTCTATAATAATTACATAGTGACAATGGACGCTGAGAGATGGATGAAACGATGCACGTGGAAGAAGACTAAACTGTTAATGATTCACCTAATTGAACTGGCTCTAGAATGTTTCTATATGTAACGTTCATCTATTTTTCATTATAATATGTATATATATATATATGTACAAACTCTGTTTGTCTGCCTGTCGACAGCCGCTCGTCCCGAATAAATAAGTAATGAACAAGGTACAAGAATCGATTCAGCTCTTTGTGCTCCATCAAACTTCTCACGAATTTCTGAGATACTTTTCACGAGGATAATGAGGCGAATCGGTCGTGCAACAGGGCGTTAGTTCTCTCAAGCAGTTTGATAAACTCTAAATATATAATGTATTCACGTATGACTATGTACGTACGCGCGTGTACATAATCGTACATAAATGGATATGTATATATATTCTCAAAAAGGAAACAAAGAAGTTACTAGGCCTAATTGGCGGTACAGGCAAAAAAATTACCTCGTCAGACCGTCTAGGAAGCTTCGACATTTATGAGTATTGCGCTTTCTTTCCAGTTCCATTTTCGCTCATTCAACCACTTTTTTACATATCCTTTAGTCTTGTTTTCACTGTCGTCGTAGCAAAAGAGTAAACGAGAACTCTCGAACAGATGCACATCACTATAGAACTGCATTTACGTATGAAGACGACCACGAAAGAAGATTCGCGCAGAACTACCAGAGTGCCATGTTTCGGAGCTTCATAGACGTAAGCAGAGGGGGAGACAGATTGAACTTAAATTGAAATATATATGAAAAAAAGTGAAACTTAAAGCTGGACTAACGCGAGGAAATTCAAAATTACTTTCAATCATGAAAAGATAATATGAGAAAATCCGAAACTTTATGCCGCATAAAAATTTGTGTACGAAGATGTCACTAAAATAAACGTACCTCGTTCAGCTTTATAGATGTCTTCTTAATGACATTCACGAACTTTCTCCGTGATCAATTATTCGTACACTCGATTGGAAACACGTTTAACGAAACGTGAGATTTTTTTGCTGAAAGAGGCCGAAGCGAAGAACGAAAAGAGGAAAGCAAAGGATGTAGCAGTGCGAACGAAATCGTGAAGTAGAACAGAGAACCTGAGACCTGCACCGCCGCACTTATTGTTGGTCACAGCATCCGATCACGGAACCAGGAATTAGAACGCGGTGCTGGATTGCGGTTGTCGCGGCACGTTCGGTCCGTGAGGCACGAGATGCGCGCCACCTCCGCCCCCGCCGCCGCCGCCGCCCACGAGGCTTTCCGGTTCCCCGCCTGTCTTGCATCCCGGTTCCATGTCGTAGTCCGGCTCGAGCGCAGGATTCACTCGGCCGTTCGATTCGTCCTTGCTACCGTACAATCTGCCGATGCCGGCAGCCAGGACGGCCATTTGTTCGCCTTCCGCCGGATCTGGACCGACCCTCTCGACATCCTCTGGTATATTGACCACGCACCGGAAGAAATCGTATCCAGGCGCCAGCCTACCGGTCATGAAGGCTACTTGCGTGCCGTATGAAACGCCGATCAGCGTTATCAACGACATCAGCATCGCCATCGTTCTGAATGGAAACCCTTGGGTGTCCGTCTCCTCGTCGTAACCGGGATAGTGAATTATCGCGGGCAGACCCATCATCGGCTCGCCGCCGCTGATCCTTACTACGAAGGCTATTATGTAAGCAGCTAGACTGCCGTAAGTGTTGCAATACTCTTTGAAGTGGACCACCATCAACAACTGAGGGAAGAGGATCACGTAGACCAAGTCCGAGCACATCGACCAAAGACCGTAGATCGAGGGTATCGTCAATGCCATCACCGTGCTCAATACGCCGACCACGCCTATTCCCACTCTCATCACCCAGATGATCTCCATTTCCGACGCCTGTTTAACGGGGAAATGGGTAGTAGAAACGGCGAATCGATCATTCGATTCTACGAGGTTGTCGTCGTTTCGGGATTGTAGGCGCGTGACAAAAATATTTTCAAGCGGATACCGATACGTGAGATACGATGATCAACGAGATGTCGCGTCGCGTCGTTCGCATGAATACGAGCGAATGGATTTTCGTATGTTCAGATAATACAACACGTGGATTTGACAAGTCTTAACTCTAATTGCTATCGTTTACAACAGCGCTGTTACAAATTTTGATTCTCTCGACTCTCGAATCTACATATGTGCTGCAGCTCAGCGGCATGTAAGGTTTGAAAGGTACAGAAACACAGCGTTGAAACTGCACCTTCGTCATGTAATTCTAGCCGAATTAATCGATGACTATAACGCAGCTAAGGTTTTGGTTTCATCGCGTTTGTCAAGCCGCAGAGAATTAATGTACAGCAGATTAAAAATCATAGCGATGTGAATCCCTCTTGTTCAATTATGCGTACAAGCTTAATTAATTGCAAGACCGAATTGTATAGTATTGTATCTTTTACGATTAAAATGTTATTAATTCAATAGTTTACGATTTTAACTCGACTATGATTTTCAATCGAAATAACTACACAGATGTGATTTGCGTAATCACGCATAGTCATGTCCGAAGATGAAGAACTTATGACAGTAGTAACGATGATGGTGATAACGATGATTACGATGAAAGTGATGTTGATGATGTTTCGTGCGACACGTGAAACGTCAAATAAAAAGTATTGAAGCGATGACAAGCGGGATTCGTCGGACGATTGAATGCACAGTAGTACGAGACGAAATTAAAAAGAGAACGACGGCCATCTACATAGAGACGAAGGACTTACCCTCTGACGGAAGATCAATTTATAAACATTTCTGGCGAACATGGAACTAGCCGAAAGGATGCTACTATCCGCTGAAGACATCACCGCCGCCGACACTGCGCCTAACCCGAAAAATGAAACGAAATCTGGCGTCAAATGTTGCAAAACCATTGGCAGAATCATGCTTGTCTCTGTCTCGGTGAACGGATATGGACCTTTGTAATCCGTTTCATTCCAATCTGCAACAGGTTTTTTAACAACACTCCCCATTATTACACAAAATTTATTTCCATGAATAGAAAAACATGTATACACTCAACACTCAATACGTGTTACTTTTGACATAAAATTTCTAAACTACATAAACTTTTGGGATTGACTGTATAGCCAATACATCCTTAAAGAGGATGACGTTTCATTCTTTTTCTCTCTTTAAACACGCGATGATACAAAAACAAAATTATTTGTCCTTGCGTTTCCGACTAAAATAACATGAGATATCGGCACGGTGTATCGCATTAGTTCCGGCGGTCCTATTGTGCTCCGCGTTAGCGAACGAGTCGCACTATCACCGTCGCCAGCCCTCGCGTTAAGAACGCCATATGACAAAATCCCACGCTATTGTATACGCTGTGGGATATCAAGGCACCCTTCGCCCACATACCCTTCCGTTACAACACCGACCCGCTTAGCCCAAGGAACCTTGCAAATACCAGCAGTCCTGCTCTCCGCGATGCTACCAAATGTCAAGTAGCCTGTGAACGCGAACTAGGGGGGACGGCGAGCAAACCGGGTCTAATTCAATCCCCTTCAGCTTCGCAGACCCATGAAACATGTTTCTCTGCCCTCAAAAATAGGGAAGGTGCATCCCCACTGGCAACCCCACCCGCAAACAAGTGAAATTATTTTTTCTAAGGTACGCTAACATCTACCCTCAAGTTGTTCCTGGACTATTATTAATGTACGTAAACGCATTCATTGACGAACAGCATGTGAACTCTGTGTTACCATTGCACGATGCAGGCATAAAACCATAAAAAACTGTCTATTTCGCATTGATTAAAAAACTGTTTAGAAATACGTTTGTCTTACTTACTTGTTGCTTTGGCGATTGCGCCAATTAATACAGGCGGGATGGCCATGAGTATGCAACCTGCTGCGGCCACGTAACTCAACACCTGCGCTCTTCCTGCTGTTTTTGAAGATAGTACCCGCTGAAAGTACACTTGCCAAGGGATGCCACCGAATACCAATAAGAGTCCGTAATCGACGTAAGACCAATATTCATTTGGTTTCACTTCACCAATCCAATCTACGTCCATAGATTCGAGGGACTTTACTATTGGATTGGACCAAGCGAATGGAATGCACATCCACTGTAATTAAAATGGCGATACCTTCTCTTCAAAAGTTGAACACCACGTAATATCGCTTATGTATTGGTATTTCGTTTTATTAAATTGAGAATGAAAGAGAAAAATTAAGAATAGGTAAAGTTTTTGTAATCGATTGCACATCTTATTTCACGTGTGCCTAGAGGAAATCTAAAGATTGAATACCAATAATGTGATTTTATTAAATCTATTAGTAAATTAGGATATTTAAATGACAGTTAGTATTAGATATATTGTGTAATTGAAAACTTCTAATATAAGATACACGTTTAATTACATGGTAAATTATCAAGTGTACTTCGTAAAGGAACGTACTATAAAAAGCTTATAAGACATTGAACACAATCGTGAAAGCGGTCAATAAAATCGATGATAACCTTCATGTATCAACTTTACACGAGGCGCCTCTCTATAGGCCTTTAAAAAAATCGTTCAATGTATAGCGATAACACGTTTAACTCAAGTGCATGCATATAAGTGATAAAATAAATACTATGATAAACACGCTGCTCTATACATCTTGGTATATGCCAGTAAAAAGAAATTGTTTGCTCAATATTTTTTAAAGATTGTTTTGATCTTTTTTTAATTGTTTCCAAATAAAATGTGGATGTGCAGTAAAGGGACTTACCAAGCCTATAAAGATGCAAAAAAGTTGAATGACGTCGGTGTAAGCAACAGAATAAAGGCCTCCGAAGAGTGTGTAGAAAACAGCGATACAGGCGCTCAAAATAACTGAGGCACCCTGGTCCATATCAATGATCACCGCTAGTGTTGCGCCCAAAGCTGCCAGAATACCCGCGGCCCAAAAGACCTCGCCGCAAAGAGCAGGAAGAAACAAAAGTCCTCCCATACGTTCGCCAAACGCGTCTTGTAGAGGATCTAACATCGTGATGTACCCCTGTTCTCGCATTTTGTTCGCAAAGAATATACCACCTATAACACAACATCGGAACAACGCTATATTTACACGCGTGCAACGTCGAACACGTTTCAAATTAAATAGTATAGGTACGTTCTATACTAATATTAATGGAAAAAGTCTTATTGCTATTTAAACTTTACATACGACACGGCAATATCTATCTAATATAAATCTAATTCGATGAATCATCGCTTATAACTTCACTGGGCAGCTATACGTGTACGTGTCTATTATTTCTTGACACTGTATTTGATATCGCAGAGCTTTGATTAAAAAGTTAGAATACTTAAGTCTCGACGGTGAAGAAGTCAGAAATAAGTTGTTAAACGATTATGGTTGTATGAACCCTTACATTAAAAACAATGAAAACGAATTGAAATTTTAACAGTTACTAGATATTACATTAATGAAACACTACAAAATTTTTAAAATTTTCGAATGTCAGACTTTTGATTTCATTTATAAAAAAATATGAATGCATACAACCTTAAAAGAATGGAGGCAAAACAACAATTTCGATCAGTTCGAAATTTCCATATACATTACGTAGGCTATTAGAATTTAAATTGTATTGAAAGTTTTACTTGATCTAACTTAAAATTGATTTTCAATTAGAACGATGTATTTACATAAATCGATTACTAGATTATATAATTGAGAAAGCAGTTATTTATCAGAATTCATTCATCAGAAGAGTTAAAAGAGTGACTGACATTCAACTATAATTTTATGTTGAAACAAAATGAAAAGAAAAGGAACGTACCAAAGACGAGGCTGAGGGCATATCCGAAGGGAGCCTGGCACCAAACGAGACCTCTTGTGTAGATTGCTTCGGCGGTGCCGTTGATGTATCCACCACCTACCCAGGTAGCCGTCATCGTGAATATCCCGACGAACAGCCCTATAGACCGGCCTGCTAACATCACCTCCTCCTCGGAGTCGTTTCCAGCCTCTTTCTTCCTCGCTGCCCATATTCCTACGGCTAGGATTAGCACGTAAAACAGAACGATTGACACGATACCGGCGATGTTGATTGTCATCTTCGGTGAGTAGAGGTCCGCTTGCGTAAACTCGAACTGGCGGAGACGCAAGTCCGAGAGGTATGGCGGCCGATCCGATTTTGGTAGATTCGGATACCTGCACCCAAAACATACAAAAATAAATCCATTTTTAAGCGAATTTTTAATTAATAATTTTCTGAACATAAAAAACAGAACTCATGAAAAGCAGGTACAAAATCATAAGAAAGCGATTATTTTTCAAAACTAATATCAGTAACTTTATGGACAGCTTTATTATGGAGCATGAAATATAGGCAAATATCATCGAATTATGGTAACGATCGATTTCCTCTTTTATTGGATACGGTTGTCGATTCTTGTATATGTAATAAAGTCGGTTTCTAATTAAATAGACTACTGAATAGACTAATTACTGTGGTAATTGGATAACATTTATTTCCAATGAAAATTGATTAACACTGTATATCTAAGATCACCTCGCAAAGAATAATGGATGTACGTACACTGCAGTGCTTCCATTAACTAGTTGATAATTGAGAATTAAATCGAGAATTGAATCGTCTTCATGAAATCGCAGTCTGTTTTTCTAGTCAATTAACGACGTAGTCGTTGCGCTCGCACTTAATGCGCGCAGTTAAGCGTAAATTCTATGTTCCTACCCAGGAGGCATTTAAATCACTCGGTTGAATTCACCCTCCAATCCTGTTATAGTCTAACTTTATCCTATTTCCACGTGTAGAGCCAAGTTCTTTATACAAAAAATAATAAAATACATAAATCTGCTAACGCAAAAGAAAGCCCAATATAAATAAAGAGCGAAAGGACAAGGTCTTACTATCGATGCAGCAGAGGTAAGCAATAAAGCTAAATGTCTTGCATTTAATTAAACAAAATATTTAAAACACTAGTACTACTCTAATTATGTTAATCATTAATTAAAAAATAATTCATTGAGCTTAATGATAAAATTTGCTACCCATCACATCCTTCTGCTTAGAATAGAATTTAATCATTTCTATGCCTCCACTACTTTATAAAGCTTACAGTGTGATTTACAATTTGCGATATAATTAAATAGAATGGAGTATTTATTGAAAATTAAAAAGAGAAGTTATTTATATGTTCAACGATAAGTTAAAATGACGTCATGTTTCTATCTATCGCCAAAAAAAGCGTAAATAATACTTTTACTTCAATCAGGAACTGTCATTTTATTGCTTAGAATTACGTGTAGATGAAACAACAGCCGAAGCAGAAACTAAATCGGTGGTTGTTTCATATTCTAACAGCCATAATAGTGAAACGTAAAAGCGATGGAGCATGCAGAGTCGATAGGAGAATTTCTCGTGCGTGGAAAGATGAATGGTACCTCTGAAGAACCCGGGGGGTACAATCACGAAGTAGTGGGGGACAGCCTCACACGGGTACCGGCGGCATGTCCTGATGACGATCCTTCCAGACGGTCGACGACGACGGAGGGTTGGAATTTGGGGGGCAGCAGTCACCCCACCGGAGCGAGGTCTTCTGGGAGGGGCTATTCCTTGTTCTAAACGCGAGGCCGCCCATGGGCGCTGATGGCCATCGATTTTTCACCCAACTCACCAAGCTCGCTGCTGCTTCTGCTTCCTCCTTTGAGTTCCTCCTTCGCCCGTGGTACCGGTATCGATCGTATCGATCAATACGGTCCTTCACCTGAAATTAATCGAGGTGGATCCTTCCAGGAGAAAGTATGCGCACCTTCACGAAGAAAACAAGAACACGGAGATGGATAATGATCTTGTTCTTCAATTAGATCTAATCTGACCTACGAGCTTCATAATAATTCCCTTGGTCCGTTACTCTGCATTTCACTTCTATAGTACCATTTTTTCTTAAACTCAAGTATAGTTTACATCAAATATTTTAAAAATTATAAGCTGCAGTTACTTTCTTGTGAATTAAATTTCTATATTACGATCAATTTGTTACAATACGATGATTGGGTACAGCATATAAAAATAACTTAAGCTGAGTGATATAAGCAATTAGAAGAAATGATCACGATCTCAATAGACGTACGTATGTATGTAGGGTGGAACGAGTCTTATGTAACTATCAACATAATAAGACATTGGTTTTCCGTAGATTGTTTGCCCGTTTAAAATAGATTCGGCGAATGAGTCATTTTTCTTTAGCCTATTGCAGTCTCCAGAAGCGACAGTAATACAATGTAAGTTTCTATAAACACAGAATACGACTGTACCTGATATGTACACGTATAGCAGAATCGATAAACGTGGACTACCTTCTGCGGTAAATAGTACTGTCACGCATTTATATCACCAGCTGAACAACAACAGCGGACAAGACGGAACTCAAATAGATCGCGTGTACACATAAAACAATTCTACCTAGGTTCAAAGCCATCAGCGGGGTTCTATGAAAACCTCATTCTTAAAACAAGCTATCGAACTCCAGATTACGAAAAAAAGAGGAACCGTACTTACAGGTGCAGCAGACGATATTCTTCCAACTCCTTTCACGACTCGTTATACGTTCCAAACGTCGCAGGTGTAAAACGCTCCGTGGGTGTCCGACGACTCTTTATCAATCACTTTCGCGCGCGATTCATTTAAAATTATCTGACACGGTCGCGAACGGCTGCGTACCGTCATTAAGAACCGCGAACAGGGAAGATGATCTTTACGCGAGAACGGAACGTGAAGACGTACCGAAACTATCCGAGTGCGTCGAGGAACCGTGACACTTGCCCTCGTCCTCCTCCTTATCCTTGACGTCGCTCTCGTCGGGACGACGCGACGTACTCTTGGCGTCCTTAACAGTCGTGGAGGCTACCCCGCACTGAACCGTTGGTATCTCTCACGTAGTCGAGGACCGGCGGCGGAGGAATGGTTCTGCGATATTGATTCGACCATCGTGACGTCATACAGACTCACGGGGGTGCGTCCTACCCTCTCGCACAGCTTTCATCTCGCTCGTCACCATCCCTTCGATCCTGTCCTCTCTTTCTATTAACCGTCTCCACCTTTCCCTTCCACGTCTTCAACCCCCGACTAGATCGAAGCCGGGGGCGTGTACTGAGTAAAGAGTCACGATTCTGCGCCCGGCGTGACGGGCACGAGCTCACCACCGTCCGCGCTTATCAACGAGAATCGGATTGAACGAAAGTCTCCGTCAGATACGTGTATGTATCTCGCAAATCGGGTAACATCGAAAACACGAGTTTTGAATTACGACTTTCAAGTAACTTGATATATGCACACCTCCTATTAGTTTACTAATTAAACTTGAAACGCATCATAATAAGGCATCTTGCTCTCGCAACAGTTCTTTCCTAATTATACTTTGCACTTGCAAAAAAGCATGTACTATACGATTAAACCGATTAGCTAGCACGTGCAGCTGGTTTTATAAAGAAACTGTTTGAAAGATATTCAAAATATACGGGATGCTGTTGACTCTTCACTTCGTTCAGGTCAATGAGAATGAATAGATTCGGTTCTTCTCGAGATAACTTGGCAGTAGCTCTTAGACACGTTGAATGCTTCAAAAGCGAATCATATAAATGATGAAAACTATAGAGATGTGTAAAGAACTGCATGTACTACAATACATTAAGACTGTAAGTGATATTTTCTTCATGCTCCTAATTACGATTGTACCAAACAGTTCAGCGTTAAGATCAGTATTTGGTGCTATGTAGTATTGTTAATTGTAGAAACGTTAATTGATGCGATTATTGATCTGCGCGAAGTAGAATGTAGATAACGGAAATGTCATTGATCAGCTATATGTATATAGTTTAGAGATCTGCAACGCGCGGAGCAGGTTCCAGGTGAACTGCACGTGCATGTGGCATGTATATACATGTTTACGTAGGTGTAGACGTAGTCTGGGGAAGGCATTGGTTCAGATACGTGACAATGAAATGAAAAGGCATATGACCTCGCAAGCAAACCGATATAAGCCTAATAAATCTCTTACAACCAACACCTATAAAAATATGTAAAATGAAGAGTTTTCGCAATGAAACAACTTCCAATGTACTCCCTTGTATGATAAATAAATAAAAGCAAACATGTGATTGAAAATATCGAAGGGAACTTGGCTGCCTTAGCCCATGGAAGTCCAGAGTTTCATTAACGCCATATTTCGTTCGCAAATTATTTCAATCAATGTACGTTCAACTTTATTGCTTCAAAAGAAGATTCAAGAAATATTTATTATTTATGTCACATTTCTTTCCTTTTGCTTGGAATCTAATTTATCAGATATTTAACGAGCAATTGAAATGTAAAAACCAAAAAATCTAAATCAATTGTATGCTAACGATAGAAAAGTTATAATCAATTAACGACAATTAAATACACCAAAATTATTTTTCACATTTCATATTTTTATACTATGTAACTGACGTGTCATGCATATTTGCTTAATGCATTTTGCGAATCGACTACTTAAACAACGTAAGTTTGTACATACAAAAATACGTGCAAAGTGTTAACGTTAGAAACCGGATGAAAGCTGAATAAAAAAAACCTATTAATGATTGAGAAACAAATTACGTCCACGTTTTCCATAGGTCAACAGAAAACGTGAATAAATGTAGTTGTTCTGCCTTGACGGATTGAGGAATGCTAGGCGTAATGTTGAAAAACAAATATGTATACAGCGTTGGTCGGCCGGTTTAGACAAAGATAACAGGTGAGTGAATCGCAAACCCGAATCTTGCTATCCTGTACCTCTTCTGCTCCTGCATGGTCGATATCACTTGACCCACTATTTCGACTCTATATCTGTAGAAACCGTACCTTCGCTTTTACATACATACACCCAAACTTGAATCCCGGACCACCCTTGAGTGTTGAATTTTTTATCATGGAACATCTTATACCAGAACGCGGATCTCATTCAGTAGACAAATATTTCTAATTAAAACTGAAACATTCTTAATGCGAGGACGTATGACATTGCTAAAGCAATATACTGTGTTATACAGCACTGTATGTTAGCACATTATATTACTTAACATATAATATTTAATTATAATATATAATTATATTAGTAGACGTAAAGGCTACGAAGAAAATACACAAGTTCATGGTTTATCGAAATTATTTTGTATTTATATAATTATATTATTTACATATTAATATATTATATAATAGAAAAATAAAAGTATTAATTCTTGATACAATAATAAAAGAATTAATTCTTTACTATTATTTATTTTAAAAAATCAAGCAAATAAGTTCATGGTGCTTGTTGGTAACAAGGCACACAGTGGACCTTCTCCCGAGGACCGCAAGAGGAAGTTTCCTGGAACAAAAATGCAAACTTATAATGAAACACACTGTCAGTGACAGGTGTCTATTAAATCTTATGTTGCAAGCTCCCCTTTAAGTTATGAATTCTTTATTCCTGAAGTATATACGATTAAATATATTCTACGTTCTAATTAAAAAGGGCGAAACAGCGGACGTTTTTCAGACGAACGGAGTTCATGCGAGGTCAGACCCTCAGTCAAGTGTTACATCGGAAAGTCAAACAGCTGTTCGTGTCATACGAGTTGGGGAATTGAAAATTGCCACGTGTCAGGTAAAACGCCAGACGACAATAGCCACGTGCACTCTAGAACGTCGTAATAGGATACGATGGAACCGGGTTCCACGGGTGTCTGGGGTGGTTCAAGTTCGTGGCCCTCTTCTAGACCCGACTGCCGAGTGCTACACGTGGCACCCTTGTACATCGAAAAAGGGGTTGTTTCGGGATACGAGTCACAGGCCTCCGTATGGGTAACACACGAATGTACGCACAAACCATGCATTACTGTGCAAAAATCTACGCCACTTATTCACTTTTCTTCCTCCTGAATTATACAGTAATCTTATTATAAAATAGCGTTTTAATAACATATAAGGATAAAGTACGATATGACCCAAGCTTCAGAATGAATTTAACTACATGGTAAACATTCCCAAAGGTAGAAATGTTATCAAAATAAAGGTGAGTTCCTTCGCGTGAGTGAAAAAATTCATGGAACAGACCTCACACGTATTGGCAGTTACAATAAGCCATTCTAAATAGTTTCAATTGTCACGTTGAACACGAGTTTTAAAATAATTTAAAATACATTAAGATTAGACATCGATAATTTTGAATGATTTTCAAAATAAAAAAAGTAAAAGGAAATTGTTCGTTTTACCTTGTCAAAGACTTCGTCGGGTGGACAAGCCAAAACACGAGTTTCTGATCCTTTGCATTCAACGTATTGTAAGCAATCCATGGGATAAGGTAGGGTAAGTGGCTTTTCTTGATCTTTCATAACGGGACATTTTGGTATCTGACAATTTTTCGTTAAATGATCTTGGGAATCACCTGGTTGCGGTAACGGTACTCCAGCGTCAGTAAGAGTGACGACAAACCAGATTACGGGAAATGCAAAAATTAGTTTCATCTCGAGATTTTTTAATCTATAAAGTAAACAATTATTTTTAATTTAGTTAATTCAAATTAAATTAATCAAACAAAAATATTAAAAAATTATTATCAATAATTTTGATTAATTTAATTTTTGAAAACTAGCTCTTATGGGATCTTACTTTTGAGACTTAATTTTTATGTACAGTAGTACTATGCCTCCATGTCCCACATGATTATCAAACCATGAATCATTCGAGGTACTTATCAAAATATTAGACAAAAATGAGAATTCGAATAGTGGGGTGATGTGGAAACGTTGAAAAATGAGCTGAGAAATGTTTAAGAATGGATGTAGCAATTGTATACAACCATGTAATTTAAGAAGCGTGAGTACATACTAATGATGTTATGAAATATTTATCTGCCTAAGAATTCCTCGCCTAAAATCTCAAAGCATGTGCATTCCCTCTAACCTTTAATTAGAAATATAATTACACAACGATTTTCTTTTTCTATCATAAAATTTATGAGTTCTATTCACAATGGAACATGAAAGTCCTACATAATTAATGTTCCTAATTAAATACCATCAGGCAATCCAGGCACCATGAGAATTGTTTTCACACCCGACTTAATTCGCATCTAATATAAAATACGTAGATAATTGTTATTGTTCACGAGAATGTTATTTGATCGATATTAAATTATAAGAATAAATCATCCGTTTACGACAGGCTTTAGTTCTCAAACAAATCTCTCTAAATGTATCGAAATCTTTATACCGATACATTAGAGGAAACTTTGAATTAAATCTTCGATGTGGTATTTGACGTTCAATGTTCAGTGAACCTCTCAAAGGATATCCGATTAGAGCTCGATACGATTTTTCTAAGGCAACATTTCTTCGGCCCAAGGGATGCCTACGTTTGCTACGTTCAATGAGGGAAGAACAAGATGTTCTTCAAGTAGGAAGCAGTTGTCGATGGACAAAGTGGGTCACGAGCCGTGACCTCCGAGTTTTTTGCACAACCTCGAGGATCTCGCTTCTCCACTTAATTACCTTCATGTCCTCCGTGCATATGACACGAATTTTACCACGTGTAACGTAGCCACCGTGACAAGGAAACACTTATACCAAGAAACTCCTTGTGTATAAGTTTGTGTAAAATTTGATACATATTGTCATTATATATTTAGGATGTTTCAAATCAAAATTACTCGACATGGATGATGTACATTACTATATGTATATGTATATGTATATGTATTGGTTTCCATGACTTGGAATCACGAGTACTGGTATTACAGAATTACAATCAGAGATTTTTGGTATCTTCGAGATTCGAAATAATTTTCTTGATTCTTTATGAATAGTTCAGCAATAATATAGCCTCATTCTAATCAAGGTGTATTAAAATTATCTTTTACAAACCTTTAACGATGAATGAATGATAACGAACAGGAATGAAAATTAAAAGCGTTTAAATAATTTCCAATTGTCTAATTGCCGTACGAATGGTCGGAGGAACTACGTATGACTAAAAGTAATCGATACCCGGGCTTCTTTATATATCTGTTAAACACGGAAGAAATAGACCTTTGGTCAGAAAATATTTTGACTCCCGCTGAATCAGGATACCAAATATGTACACATGAAAATTAGAATATTAAAAAACTGATCTAACAGGTTTGATACTTGGCGCAGGAAAGGACTAAAGTAAATACAACTGATTTAAAAATAATTTATTTTTAAAACAAGTAAAACTCCAAACCCACATCACAACTTTAAATCACGATAAAAACGTCCTTTACTTATTATTTCGAAGCTGAAATTATTTAGAATGGTAAATGTTTTCTGTTCTCTTGCATCAGATAGAAAGCTCGTAAGAATGCTCGATAATCGAGTTCTAAACGACCGCCTCTCTCCACGGAGAAGCATTTGTGCATCGCGTCTAGCTCTCTTTGACTGATTAGTTGTAACATACGCCTAACGGACAGAGCTTTGATCAAACACTCCTTCGAGATCGTGCCAATATTTTCTTTATCGTAATCCTGTAATTTCAAAGTCAAGTTGATTCAGTGATTTTGTTTATTGTACAATCGTTTATTGTACCGACCTTGAATAATTCCTCGAGATTCGGTTGTTGCGCTCCGCTCAGCTTCTGCACTGCAGTCGTAGCTAGATGCCTCTCGTCGAAATTCAAAAATGTTTTCGGTGAAGCTTCCGAAGGCACGTGCTGCACGGGTACCAGAAGTGGAGCCCGTTCTAAGCTACCCATGGCGACAGCTTCCTCGATTAGTTCTCCAAATTTCACGTAATCGACATACTCCGGCCTTCGATGTGAAATTGCACAATTCAAATTTGAAAACAGTGATCAGGAAATGTAATCTGTTTTTATACGATAACTTAACTCTTGCATCTTCGTACCTTACAGGCGATTGGAAAACTTTCATGATAGTTCCCATTTCTGCGCAACTCAAGTTACAACGTAGCTGATCTAAACCTCGTAGAAATTCCGTTCTTTTTATAACTTGTTCCTTCCTTGGATCGTATTGGCTCATGAACTCGGTAACCTTCAGATTGAAGAGTGCAAGCAAAAATATTATCGTGGGAGGAGTTCAGGTAAAAATATCTGCATCTCGCGACTTACCTTAATCCTGTCGCGTACAATTTTCGCTTTGATCTTAGCCAGAATTAAAACGATATTCGTCTCGTCAGACGACGGTTCTGCCGGTGGTTTTTCAGCGTTCACTTGTCTCGTCTCCTTCAGCATCGTGTGATACAAGGGTTCTTCGATGGGTTTAGCTTCAAGCTCTTGTAAGAACCAATTGTAATTGAAGCCCAAGTCATCGTTGTACCTCTGTTCTAATGCAAACTCCTCTTCTCCAGAGAGCAATAGAGCAGCGGTTCTTAGAATTCGCCGTAATTGCGCACGTGTCACGTGGCCTGTATTCAATCTGAAACATTAGAAACACTATAAGCTCGATACACGTAACGAACGCATCGTATGTTGCGTGTACCGATCGTAATCCTTGAAGAACTGTTTTATGAAGATCCTCCTCTCGCTGACGCGATGTCGAACTTTTAACAACGCTTCCTCGCAAAGCTCTCTGACACCCGGCTTTTCGCATTGCCAGTCGGCCACTCCTTTTCGTCCAAGTTCTGCTATCTCCTTCGGAGGCGCCTCAACCTTTAAATTCGGCAATTTTTCAAGTTCCTTCACGGTAAACACTACGAACACAAAACAGCTGATTGGTGAAATATTAAGTTCATCAAACGCAGGAGAAAAGGAAAAATAAATTGATTGCGCGAAACGATATACCTTTATCGATGTCGTCTTCGAACGTACGCCAACACACACGATCTGGATCATTTGGATCTTTATAAAGTGTAATTAACGCGTCAATTTCCGGCTCCGCGAGATAAAGACGTCCTATGCTGGAAATCTGAAGACTGTCCAAGCCTCTCCTAAACTTAGTAATCGTCACTTTACCCGCGTTCAGAGGATCGAAGCTCTTTTTAATAAAATTAATAGTAATTATTAATTCTTTATATGACACGTTGCTTATAAGTAATACTATTAAGTATTTAAAAAGTGAGATATATAACAATTTATTGTTAGAGTAAAGTCTATTCCTATTCTAACCGTGGATCACCTTGAAAAATTCAGAAATCCGTATCCGACTTTCAAGAATGTGCCTCTGAATACGTCGAATAACTTCCATCAAAGGTATCGTACTTTTAGCTTCCTCCATTACGGGATGGAACACCGATTGTTTACCGAATAGTTTGCTCGGCGAAAGTTTACCAATCTCGGGTCTCGGCAGTTTCGGTAATTCAGCCGTGATGATTCGACCAGGGAATTGGTCAACTAATTCCTTTCGAATGTATTAAACATAAAATGGTTTTACTGTACAATTGTAAAATTCAATAGAGGAATATTGCAAAATATGTGCAGAATAAAGTATTACTCCACCAAGAGCGAGCATCTGATGCTTGTCGAAATAAGCTTGAACTTCGTCGAGCGCCTTCAAGAAGGCGACGTAATTGACCGTGTAAGCGTCCTTCGCGAATCTTTTTATGAGTAAACGAAATTCTTCGGAGGCGAGGACGATGCCTAAAAATTTTAGGATCCGCCCGAAGTGTGTAAACGTCACAGTTCCAGCATTTTTCGAGACCTAAAGACAGAGTAATCGATGCTCCTCAGGTGCTTTAAGACAGCGATCATGAGTAGCGAGAGTTTGACGGACCAGCTCGTAATCTTGAAAGTAAGGCCTCAGTACAAGCCTCCTTTTGTTCACGAGAACGGCAATCTGAGTTAGAATAAGGCATAATTTTCGATCTTCGGTCGCACTTATTCGATTTACGTGCTCAGGATCTTCCCACTCCAAACCAGTGACGAGTGGCTTATTTTTATCAAATTCAGGAGCTACAGAAAAAGCAACGAAACTACATACGGGAATTTTATTAATCTTTACATTATATGTTCGGTTCTTCTCAAGTTCTCTCTTAGGATACTTTAACTATTATATTCGTTTAGACACTGTACATAATTATAGAATCATACCACTGCTATGAATAATGTCGCAAAATTGCGTATAAAGTATTCTGCCATCTTGGACCCGAAAATAATCGGCCAGGTCGCAAATTTCTTTGTCGGCTAAGCCAATCTGATCCTTCAATGGGCCAGCCAACACCGAAATGAACTTTGACTCTGCATAATAAAAATATTATTTAATGTGTAATTAAGTAGTATTAAATGTATACTGATAGTCAATACGTAGATCTATAAATATCATAACGATAAGGTGTGATAAAAGTTACATGTCTGTACCTGAGATTAAACAATTATTATTAGGATCTAACGGTTTATAAAAATCCCATAAATTAAAACCCACGCGAAATATCGCCGCTCGTATTTTATTGCAAGTACGCCAAACATCTTGTAGCCTCAAAATCTATAGAACATTAAACGCGTAAATCTATTCAGAATGGATGCAGTTCTTCCACTATATTTTATTCTTAAAAGAAATGTGACCAAGTGGATGACTTTACTTTTTGTTCCGGCATTTTGACAACTGTAAATTTAACATGCGACCGATTGTTGACCTCAGTCAACGAATGCGAAATGTTCGTTATAACATGCGTTACAAGCTGCAACCTGCGCTATATTATGTCTCCACTGTGTAATCGAAATTTGTTTGACTGTTGTCATGGTAAATTGTTTAGTGTGAGAGTAATTGAACAATAATTATAGGGTCACTGAAACTTTTCCTGATCTTTATGACTCGCTGAAATTAGAACATCTTCAAAAAGAAAATAACAAAAATAGTGGTGGTGGAGAAGATTCAGTAAATAATAACTCCTAAATATAAGCTTGAATATTTTATATATAATAATATTCATTTCTTCGTACACTTCTTCAAGTTGAACATACAGTTTTACGTCTTAGTGAAAATTTGATTGCATACCCCGAAAAAAATTGCGTATGCATTTTTGCGTACAAAAATTTCGAACTTTAGAACAGCGTACAAATCTAATATAGTAAGGTACAAAATATCATTCCACATTGAATTTTGTATCCATGAGAATACAAAACGCACTTAAATAAATAATAAATAGTAAATAAATATAATTTTGATACTTAATCTGTATGTACATTATACTTTATAATTAATAAATTTTGACTATTCTTCGTGAACTACATTCAAAACTAAGTCGTTTACTTCTTCGATTGACGTAATTACAGGTTTTTTTCTTATTCCTCTTAATTTTTTTTGTTCGCTGTTCTCTCTTCTGCCGTCCACTTTCCGTTCATGTTTCACCCCCTTTAAATAAGAATATTGGTTGATCAGATTTTGTTCGTTTGGCTACGTATTCGACCGATAAAGGACTTGATGATAAATCATAAGCCGCGCATACCTTTCTTTTTGTAGTTTGAGATTTATTCCGATATGTTCTCTTTTTAATTGCTTTGTTAAAATTTTCATCATCTTCGGAAGTGATATACACATATTTCTCCTTCCATTTTCCGGTAGACATATCTAAGACTCCCACGTTGACATTCATATTTCTACCGTACTTTTCACCCATTGTTTTAGACTTTTGCATTTTCGGAATCTCATCTGAAACTAGAATTAGAATTTTAGATTCACTTCTGTATCTTTGCCGCAATTTTCTATTCATCAACAGTATTATATTGTATTCACTCACTTTTCGAGCTCGGTGCCTGATTTTCATCGTCCGCCGGTCGAAGATATTTCTTAACTTCGTCGTAGTTCTCGCTAATAAATTTATCCCACAGAAAATTACTATAAGCTGTTGGAAACAATCTGTACAAATTCGCATCGGCACTTTGATCGTAGCTCATCACATTTTTATTGTATCGCTTCGACTTTTTGGAACACGGATACGTTCTAATCGTATTTTCATTTTCTAAAACCCGATTATTAATTGATATTGTACATGTTTTTTTTTCGACTCCCAAGTTCTTAAAACCAAAATCATGTCGCAAACAATTACGTAATGACTAATAAAATAATTAACGGCTGAACAGAAAGGAAAAGACTGGTTTGGCGTTTAACGTGTTAAGTATGATATAAATATTTACGTAGTACTAAAGGTAGTGACTCCACCTCATCACGATCGGTTAATCCAGGTAATAAACTTTCTGCAGGTAGTGGTATGCCTAAAGACCGTTTCTGTTTTTTCGCTGGTATTATTTCTTCTTTGTCTCCAAAGCTAAGTCTTTTTACACTCACTCTGCTTTTTCTTCTCCTTCGTCTTGCCGATGCAAGAATCGGTGATATTGCCCGATCTTCAATGAAATTTGTACCTCTTCGAATTTCTTCTGGGGATCGAAGATCGGCAAAAAGAACATCAGTCTCGGGTAACTGAGGAGATTGTTGAGTATTTTTTGAAGTTCCTGCATCTTCAAAGACAACATCGTTCTTCGATATAAAAATGGACTTCCTTATCGCAGATTTTTGTAAAGTTTCTGTTTCTGGTTCTGTTTCCCATTCCTCGCTAATTTCTGTCCGCAAAAACGTCTTCCTCTGTCGTCTTCTCTTCAACTCTTTGTTACCTTTCGGCTTTGTCTTTTCTTTTCGTTGTTTTCTCTGCCTTTTCATACCCCCAGATGAACTTGTATTAATCTCCGAAATACTTGTATTACGTGGAAGTGGAACTCCTTTTCTTACCGGTGTACTGCACGAAACCGCATTCCCTTTACGTTTAAAGAACCGTCTCTTAGGTATCTTCTCAGACGAGGAAGAAGACATTTTGTACCCCGTGTATTTTCAATCAGTGATTTGTATATTATTTTTTTGTTAATTTACGTTACAATTTTCGCAAATCAAAAACTCCGTGTTCGATGATCGTTCGCGTATCGATATTTCTTTCGAAATTGACACATTAATTGTTCCTGTGCAATTCAAAACTTGAAAACTTGATACTTAACAATCATTTAAATTTAGCACTTGCAAATAATAGTAAACGTTGTAAAGGTGAACATGGGCGTGCGATTAAGCGTGTCTGCGACTTCGAGTTTCGTACTAGGCAAATGCCTACTTTTTATGGAGCTACTATTTATTTACATTACGATCTTACACGATATAAGGTCGTAATTTACACGGTGTTACATTCATTGCATTCATTTCATACGTAGCACGTTTCATTGTCATATGAATAACAACACGTTTCAGTATGATTACCGAAACAAGTGTGTCCCATGGTTGCTTACCAAGATCGGCATGTTTGATTTTCCATCAGGAAAATTGAAGTATATGCTATTTTACCATATAGATTAACATCTTTCTCATGTGCTTCTCCTTCCCGATACAAATGAAACATTTCCCGTGAAGATTCATTAGTATATATTAATTTTCGTAATACAATACTAGTTTCCAAATATACTTTTTTTCCCATGGAAGAGTTATTTTACTACGTTACTTTTTGTATAACAACGAACACGAAAGGCCGGATTTGCTACACGACAAAAACTAGAGAACTAATTATTTTTTAATTGTTCAACTTTTCTGAACTTCAAAATTTTAAAGGCTGGGAAAGACATAGTTGTGCCATCTGTCGCTGGAATTTAATACCTAAAGGAATTTTTTAAAATTTGGCTGAAATAAAATCAAATGACAAAGCACTGAAATTTTAGTAGTTACTAGATATTACATTAATAAAACACTGTACAAAATGTTAGAAATTTTGCAAGTCTATTAAAAAAGACGGCGTTTTTATACCTTCGCGCTCATAATATTTGCTTTTTCAAATATAATTTGTTGAATCGCTCATTGAAGCGAAGAGCTGGTGAAACCCTTAAACTGTCCTATCATTATATAACAATGCTGTGATATAAAAATACTTCTTAAAAACGATCCAATTATCTCAGATTTAAATTGTAGAAAATTGCAGAAATTTAAATTGTACAAAATCAATTTATATCGATCTCGACTCGATATATCGATTCAGTACGATATTAATTTGTGTTCACGGCGCTAGATGTAGCAAGCGCTCGTTCAATTCTTTTCGAATGAACGTAGTGGGGGGAAGTAGAGGGAACGAGGGAACGACAGAATTAATTAGATACTTTGCTGCTGTTTGCTGATCATACTTTGCTACACTTTTCGTAACGGTGATATGTACTCTTGATAGTAAATTTTAACAGAATCCTTTTTGCAAATTGAACATTTCTCAGCTCCGTTAATTAACGATTGATTAAAAGAAAATGGCACCGCGTACAGAAGCGTTACCAAAAGAAGCTGTGGAACTTCCAAATGATATGCCTAGCGCTGGTATTAAAGCAGTTTTATTAGGTCCACCTGGTAGCGGCAAAGGTACACAGGTGAGAATTTCATTATAATTTCTTATAGTCTGAATCAATAAGCACTAAAATATGTAATAGAATCAAATGATCGTACTGTGTTTGTAACATTTTAGGCACCGCTACTGAAGGACCGATATTGTGTATGCCATTTATCTACAGGTGACATGCTCAGGGCAGAAATCAGTTCAGGATCCAAAATTGGTAAAGAATTGAAAAAAGTAATGGACGAAGGTAAATTGGTCAGTGATGACATGGTAGTCAACATGATTGATAGCAATCTAGATAAACCTGAATGTAAACGTGGCTTTTTGCTGGATGGGTTTCCAAGAAGCGTTCCTCAAGCTGAGAAAGTGAGTTTTATTTTCTTTTCATGTCATACTTTATCAATGAATTAACTTCACTATTATCAGTGATTATTTATTTGATTTTATCTACGTTAGAAAGATTATGAATGACCTTGACATGACATTGAGATAAGAAAGTTGATCATGATTAACAAACAATCTATATAATATAAGTATTAGAAGATGGATGATGTTGTAATACTGTTACTTTTTATTGAAACAGCTGGATGAAATGTTGAAGAAGAGACAAACTAAGTTGGATGCTGTGATAGAATTTGGAATTGACGACAGTTTATTGATAAAAAGAATCACAGGTCGTTTAATACATCCAGCGAGCGGTAGATCGTACCACGAAGAATTTGCTCCTCCTAAAGTACCTATGAAGGATGATGTAAATATTGATGATTATCTGTGTTTCGAGCCAAGTATCCTTTAATCAAAACAAGTTATATATGCGTACATGGTTTTTTGTTATTAGGTAACGGGGGAGCCATTAGTTAAAAGATCCGATGACAATGCAGAAGCATTGAAGAAACGGTTACAAACATATCACATACAAACTCAACCATTAGTTGATTATTATGCTTTACGAGGTATTCATTACTATGTTAATGCAGCCCAATCCGCTAAAAACGTATTCAAGGACATTGATCGCATTTTCTTGAATGCAACTAAGCAAGAAAAGAAGAAAAGCTTCTTTGGTTGGTTCTCTTAAAAGCGGGAAGCGCTATGATTCATTTTTCTCTTTTGAACGATAGGGGCAATGTGTAGTTAATTGAAGAACGTCTTATAATCAGAATAAGTCTTAGCAAAACTTAGTCTGTAGTTATAACATCTTCGATTCGAAAGCAATTTGCACTGCTTTTAATTGACATAATATGTATTTTTCTTTTTAATAACTAACGTAGAGTATGTCCAATAGTATGTGTAGTAAGGGGGAAATAAGCGGAACAATATTGCATCAATTTAATTGCAAATGAACGTATGAGTCGCAAATGTGCGGATATAAGTCAGCAAGTTAAATGCACACATTTTATTAATAATTTTTACTTTGATTTGTAATTAGTATATATGAGAAGTGACGTATTTGTATATATTGGAAAACATCTATTTGCATTTTTATTACTTTTAATCTTGTTCCTTAGATATATATATTTCTTGAAATACTGTAATAATTGTTGCACAAAATATAAATACTTACCATTTCCTACACTTTTTTAAACTTAAGATTTATTTCATAATTTTTTGATACAATGAAGCATTTTAATGCCTTTGAGATGTAATGCTTCATTTTTATATACGCACACACCGTCTATTTTTTACTCTATTAATTGCATAATATACAAACTAATGAATTATGTATGGGAGTAGGTGATAAATACAAATATTGTAATATATATTACGTACATATATCGAATTCGTTGAAATGCCTATACAATTTTGGACATAGTTTTACAAAACGGTTTTTAAATGAAATGCAATGTATGTTGAAAACTATTTTCCGCAAGTGAAAGTGACTCAAATATTATATATTCTGATACGGTGGTTCCCGTCTGTATATCTTATTGTAAATATTTGATGAGAAAAATGAAATTTACATTCGAACGCAAAATAAAATTCCTAGTGCACTGACATCATCTATCTGTTTTAATTAATTTATTATCGTCTCTATCGCCAACCGCGCGCTCTACGTGATTGAGAACATAAATAAAAAAATGTCTACTAACGGAAGAAAAGATGTAGAACAATATAATTAAGTATTTCCAACGATCTACTGAAAAAAGCTATGTACAGTTACATACATACGAGTTACTGAAGGAAATACTAATGTTTAAAGCAATTTAAAGTATGCGCGATAATCGCGTGGAGTGCGCTGTGTACATGTATCACGCATGCGCAACAATCGTCAATTGTTCGCGAGTCTCGTCAGAAGCAGGGTTCGGGATAAATAAGTTCTGTCCGCTCGTCAAACAGAGGGATAAAGAGATAGGACAGAGAGGGAGCATTCTTTCGATTTCTCAGTGGAAAACTGTGTTTTCCGTGCGCTGAGGGCCGGTGGCCGAGTGATGCACGCATATGTCTAGGCTCGGAGGGACTCAGGTTCTGACCACAGCACAGGTGAAGAGGACGACCGCTGATCACGCAGCGGTGTTAAACTTCGGTGCTGCAAAGCGCAGCAAGTTGTCCGCCGTTGCGGTCACGGAGATCAACGAGATTGAAAACATGACGGATACGGCCGCAGCTACGACTGATACTCAGAAGAGAGCCAATTTCTCGGCTTTGACTGTCGGTAATCCAAACGGCGTCAACAAGATTTCACCTAGTTTGGCAAGCGCGAAACCTGGTTCAGCTAGAAAGCTCGTCATCAAAAACTTCAAAAGTAAGCAAGACCATGGGATCTACCTAACCTCAAAGTCAGCTGCTGTTCGCTAAGATTCGTGGTGTAATTTATGCTTGGCAACGTGCCTCCGTAAATTGCGACATTGAATTTTCGAATGACTTTGTAAGATTTTGTGACACTTTCGTTGTAGCATTGCCTGACCAAGGATCAATCGGTTCTAAATGCGATTAATAATTCTATGCAGACATAACCTAACCTGACACCTCCAATGAAGAACAAACACAAACGTCTTTAGGACGTTATTATTTCTCTTTTTTATGTGCTTTCCAGAAGTTTCAGACTATCTTTACTTTTGTGATTAATTATAGACGTATATCTGTTTACCTATGTTCTGAATCTTAACGTGTCACTAATGGTAAAAGTATTTATGAACTATTTTAGCAATGATAGTATAATGAAATTTTAAAATGCATTTACGTCTTACACGTGACGTGCAGTCTTAAGAAAAATAGGAATTTATTATTGCATAGCAATTGCAAGAATGCATATTGAATCTATATATTCTTGAATTTTCATTTAATTCTAATTCTATAGTTTCCTTATTTGGACATGTCATATGCATAAAGTCAATTTTTGTGAATATTGTAACAGATGTAAGTACTTATAATACATGTTTTGCATTAGATAAACCCAAATTGCCAGAACATTATCAAGAACAAACATGGGAAAAGTTGCAAGAAGCTGTAATTGCAATACAGACCAGCAAAAGCATTCGTTACTCATTGGAAGAACTGTATCAAGCAGTTGAAAATATGTGTAATCATAAAATGGCAGCTACATTATATACAAAGCTCACAAGGTTAACAGAAGCTCATGTCCAGGCAAACATAGAACAGTTTTTAGCAGAATCAATGGATAGGCATATATTCTTAAAAAAAATGAATGAATGTTGGCAGTCCCATTGCCGGCAAATGATTATGATTAGAAGTATTTTTCTATATTTGGATAGAACATATGTATTACAGAATCCAAGTATTTTATCTATTTGGTATGTTCTGCCCTTTATGCTTTTAAATAAACTAAATCACTTATAGATATTGTCCTGAATACGTGTGTCGTTTTAGGGACATGGGATTACATTTGTTTAGAGTGTATATTGTTCTAAATAACTTAGTTCAAACACGGACAGTAGAAGGTTTGCTTATGCTCATAGAAAAAGAGCGTCAAGGTGATACGGTGGACAGGACACTCCTTAAGTCGTTGTTAAGAATGTTATCAGATCTACAAATCTACCAAGATGCCTTTGAAACTAAGTATGCATTTTTCAGTGAATATTAAATGAAGATGTCGCATTGTACTCATCAATACATTTTACTTACAGATTTCTGGTGGCTACTGAAAGACTATATGCTGCTGAAGGACAACGATTGATGAATGAACATGATGTGCCTGAGTACTTAGCACATGTAGACAAACGTCTTCAAGAGGAAAATGAACGTTTGTTACATTATTTGGATGCATCTACAAAGTAAGTATTCTTTTCCACATAAATTAACTTGCACTTGTCTTGTCTAATATTGAACGTCAATCTAACATTAACATAACATTGTAGATGGTCATTAATACATACAGTGGAGAAGCAATTGTTATCCGAACACATCACCAGCATTTTACAAAAAGGTTTAAGTGGACTGTTGGATGAAAATAGAATTAATGATTTATCTTTACTTTATAATTTATATAGTCGAGTGAAAAACGGCCTTGTAGAACTTTGTCTAAATTTTAATTCTTACATTAAGGTAATCCATATGATGAATTTTTAAATGTTACACTTGAATTATGTAATTTAAATGTATATACGATTTACTCGTATTTGCAGAAAAAGGGTAAAACTATAGTCATCGATCCAGAGAAAGATAAAACTATGGTTCAAGAACTTTTAGATTTCAAAGATAAAATGGACAATATAGTTAACACCTGTTTTCATAAAAACGAAAAATTTGCAAACAGTTTAAAGGAAGCTTTCGAAGCCTTTATTAACCAACGCGCGAACAAGCCTGCTGAATTAATAGGTAACGATATTTCTTTTATTAAAACATTTACATTTGTTATTTTTATTAATCAATGCGCTCCTTTTTAATTTCAGCAAAATTCGTTGATTGTAAATTAAGAGCGGGTAATAAAGAAGCGACGGAAGAAGAATTAGAGAGATTATTAGATAAAATTATGGTACTGTTCAGATTTATACACGGCAAAGACGTGTTCGAAGCATTTTACAAAAAAGATTTGGCTAAACGTTTGTTAGTTGGTAAATCAGCTTCTGTTGATGCTGAGAAGTCCATGCTATCCAAATTGAAACAAGAGTGTGGCGGCGGTTTTACCAGTAAATTGGAAGGAATGTTCAAGGACATGGAACTCAGTAAAGATATTAATATTGCTTTTAAGCAAGTGAGTATTCAGAAAACTTTTACATTTTAGTTCATTACTTGTCCTATGTTTATTTCATTACATAAATATAAATCATCTTGTGTGCAGTATGCAGGAAACCTGCAAAGCGAATTATCTGCCAGTAATTTGGATTTAACTGTTTCAATACTTACAATGGGATACTGGCCAACGTATCCTGTGATGGAAGTGACATTACCGCCAGAAATGGTGCAATATCAAGACGTATTTAATAAATTTTATTTGGGCAAGCATAGTGGTAGAAAATTGCAGTGGCAACCTACTCTAGGACATTGTGTACTGAAAGCTTGGTTTAATCAGGTACTGTTAACATCGAGCAACAAACATATGCAAAGTAAATTAATTACGCATTCGCGCGAGACGAGGTTCATTATTTTATTTAAATTTGGAAACAGGGTAATAAGGAACTCCAGGTTTCGTTGTTTCAAGCATTGGTCTTAATTTTATTTAATGATGCCGATAATTTATCTCTGGAGGATATAAAAGCAGCAACAAATATAGAAGACGGTGAACTTAGAAGAACTTTACAATCTTTAGCATGTGGTAAAGCCAGAGTGTTGCAAAAGAATCCGAGAGGAAGAGACGTCGCAGATAATGATAGATTCGTGTTTAATGCAGATTTCACAAATAAATTATTCAGAATTAAGATAAATCAAATTCAAATGAAAGAAACGGTATGAAGTAGTCCTTTAAATAGCTTTTCTCAAATATCAAAAATGTGATCTGTCTATATTGTGTCTCCTTGTCTTTCTCAGAATGAGGAACAGAAGGCTACAGAAGAAAGGGTTTATCAGGATAGACAGTATCAAATAGATGCAGCTATTGTCAGAATTATGAAAATGAGGAAAACGCTCACGCACAATTTATTAATTAGTGAACTATACAATCAACTAAAGTTTCCTGTAAAGGTCCGTTTTGTATTTTAAAAACGATGCACCTCAAGAACGTTTAAATGTATCTAATAATTAGATGATTTTAAAATGAATTTTTTGTTACAGCCTGCAGACTTGAAAAAGCGAATTGAATCTCTCATAGATAGGGACTACATGGAACGAGATAAAGATAATGCAAACGAGTACAATTACGTTGCATAACCTGAACCAAATGCCAAAGTCATTACAGACTGGGTGGTCACTATGTTTCGTAGCAAGAAAACCAATTCGTTTTGGTGTTTGCCTATTGTGAATGTGACATGTTAAACAAGAAAAACATAAAACTGATTGAATATCGACACGATGTTGAGTCATGTGGTTAGTTGGAAAAGAAAAAAATTTAGTGTGGACTTCATTGTTTTGGTTCTTATAATGCATAACGAAAACTGGACAATTAAGATTCTCTTTTAAACAGTGCTTTACCGTTGGTATTCTTGTGTTGTTTCTGGATTTCACTAAAATGGACCATGTGCAAAATGTTTTAAATGGTACAGCATTTGAAGTATACATATGTATATCAGCAATTTTTTATGCAAAACAATTTTTCACAGCATAAAGATTTAAGACGATAATATAGAGTCGAAATATTCTAAGAATTAAAAAGCAAATGCGACGGCCGAAAGTGAACAAGAATGTTATTTATAACGAGTATAGGATACAGTGTACCGTGGACGTTGAACGTACTTGTCATTAAAATAATTTTAAACAAGTGGAAAATGCATTATAGAAATAAAGGTTCGTGTATTGAATAATATCCGCTACATAGAAAAAAATTCTCCATTGCAGAATTTTTAAAATGTTGTTGGAAAGAAAGATGTAAGGTACCGCAATATGTGCATACTAAAATAGATGAACGCCACACTGATCGAAGAAAATTTATTAAGGACGTACTATTATGTATTTCTATAACAAATTTTTGTACATTGCCTTATAATACAGAGTTTATAAATAACGAAGCGGAAACTGATTTGTACAAATGAATATCGACTGTTGTTGAAGCAATAGTAAAGCAATGTATAAATTAATTGACCCGATAATAGTATGAAACATTTTTTTATTTTATCGATGTTTTATTTATGATCCGCACGTTAATCAATGGAGATTTTCACGATTGTATGTATCACCAAAACGATTGTTTATGTTTTAGAGATATTAAAATGTAAAGAGTGTTTTGTATTAATATGAAGCGGAAAATACTCTGCCATTAGCTTTACAAGTTTCATTATAAAGTTACTATAACTATATTTAAACTTAACACACACGCGTACTTGTTTAAATTAATTTTTGCAGAACTGTCGAACGAATTGTTTCTTGACAAAAGTATAACTTTATAAGAAATATATGTATCTTCTATCTTGTACAAATTAAAANAATGAAATTTTTAGAAAGATAATAAACTATAAAAAAATGGAATTTCTGTAATTATACATTAAATGAAATACAGAATTTCTTACTATATCTTTTAGTGTAATCTAAAGACAAAGACAAGAGAGATTATTGTAAAAAAAGAAGGTCCAGTGCTTTTTTGTGAATATAAATATGTAGTTATATTCTATGGAGTATAAAAGAATAACTTCCAGAAAACATTAAGCAGAATTTCGTAATGTAGGGATCGATTGTTATTGAATAAATATATAATGTACTATTAACGGTAAAATTTGGATAATCGAGTGGCTTGTTCGGTCATTTTAAGTCAGTGTAATTATGAAATAGCTTATTATTCGAATTTTGTATAAACACGGAAAAGAATGTTGATAAAATCAGTAGCCAATTTTAATGGAAGTCCTGACGGAAAGTTTTAACATAAATTAAAACCATCCCATATAAACGCAGTACATGGTAAGGTTTTTTTTTGGTGTATAATAATATAATGGGAACCGTTTTCAGTTAAACGTCATAATGAACAGTTCAAACAGTAAATTAAAAACATTAATCTTCTCATAAATTACCTTATACTGCGTTTCAACTGTATTACATTAAAAAAACTTATTTTTGTGTAATCGTACGTAGATTTATTAAAACTGTAAATAGGATAAGATTCCATACTTGTAATAAAATAAAAGAAAAAACTCAAGTTATCTGTTTGTTTGTAATGTATTATATAATTACAAATATTTACATTTTATTTACAAGATAAAACATTCGATTATGAAACTATCTATGGTTATCGAGCTTGATGACCGAAGTTTTTTCTTTCAACATGTACTTTCATTCCGAACTGTTTTGTTATTTTCTTAGTTTTTGTACGTATTCCATTTTTGTATCAATTTCATGTATCAAAGATCTCGCAAAATTACTAGCATTTGCCTCCTTATTCAAAAAGTCTGATACCAATGTAGAAGGAGGCTTTCCACCTCCATGCGCTAAGCATTCTTTTCGATATCGATTGCCTGCTGTTTGATCGAAAGGATTCGCTTGAAAGTACGTTTGCCATATCCAAGAAGCAATTGCTCGAGATATTAAATAAGAATAATATTTCGCGCCATAGCCGACGAGATGAGAAAATCTTAATTGCCATGCCTATAAATAAAACATGTACATTTATAATGCAAACAATAATGGAAATCTTCTCGTTGCAGGAAACTACGTACTGTGTTCTCAACATAAGGTAATTGATAGTATTTTCCTTGTATCTCTTTTAAAACCTCGGTCGACGGTTTTTTCAATTCTCCGCTATGATAAACTTGATCCAGCATACTGTAGCACAGTTGATTTTGTAATTCAGAAGCACAGAATATGTTCTTCGAGGTGTTCAATTTTTCTACTAATCCTGCTGGAATTTCTTCTTGAGTTTGAAAGTGTTTTGCAAACGTGGACACAACCTGAAGATAAATATTGATGAGTAATAAAATAAATGTTCACTTATAATGCTAATTGTTTAAATTGAAATAACTGTAATTATAACTCACTCTTGGATCACTCGCAAAATATTCCATTAATATGCTTGGAACCTCAGCGAAATCTGTGCTGCATCTGGTCCCAGTCACATGCTGATATTTTGTTCTGCCTAACATAGAATGTAACGCATGACCCATCTCATGGAACAAATTTTCTACAGAAGAAGGACTGAGTAAGCAGGGCTTGGACCAGGATGGAACTGGTAACGATAACATTAACACTACTATGGGATTCTGAAATCAAATATTCATATATTATAATAACAAGCTCGATTTAATGATATCGTTTATATTTGAATCATACTTGATAAGATCCATCTGATTGTTCTCTTCCACCTCTAATAGTAAAATGACAGTCTTGATTAGGTTTCCCTTCTCTTTCAAAGAAATCACAATATATGTGACCCAAAGTTTCTTCGTTCTCGTCTATCACAGCGATTTTATGAACATTATTTGCCCAGACCTCGCCCGGTAAAATTGGCACGTATTCAAGTCTGATACCAAAGAGTGCTTGTATCAATATATTAATACCATCCATACAAGAACCAAGCGAAAAGTATGGTGCAGATTCCGTAATACTCATGTTCAACCAAGTTCTCTTCGCTTTTGCCGTAAAATAAGCCGTATCCCATGGCATTATTTCCTACATACGAAAATTAAAGATATTAACTTACCTAAATAGAAGATCATACAAATTATTATTTAGAAAATTTAATAAACCTGTTTCACGGGTAATTCTGTGTCTTTCATTTTTTGCATTTCGTTAAAATCTATCATCGCTTTTGGTTTCAAATTATCATTCAAAATATTAAGAAATTCGCATACCACTTCAGGCGTTTCTACGGTACTTCCCTTCACGGCTCTATAAATTATTCATTCTTTCAGTACACACCATGGCTTTAATGAGCACTACTTTATCGATTAATATCAAGACCCTACCGATGAGCGTAAGACGGGAATCCACACAATTTTGCCAAGATGTGTCTGGAATTTAAAAGTTCTTGCAACAGATTCTCTTGTTCTTCATTAGGATGTAGAAATGCCCGATATGCTATCTCTCTAACTAGATAATTAGGAGAATCCGCATAAAGTCCCGACACATACACTTTATCATTCTTTATTTTGAAACTATGAAAATCAGCAAATCTTACATTTCATATTAAATACCAGACGTATATAGAATTAATTTTCTAGACTTACAATTGCTTCACAGTATCTGGAACAATACTTGCGTCTACCGCTCGTGTATGGCCGGTACCAGACATAAATTTTTGACCCACCTTCAGAGACAAACCAGGTTTGGGAAACATGTATTACAATGTGAATATTGTGTATCGATATAAAATAAAACATACTTGTAATATGTAATAATTCAGCTGTACTACATCTTCTCTTATAGAATCTGGCAAATGAATAGCACATTGTTCAAAATCAACCAAGAACAGTTTTGCGACATGGTCATCTATGACAGAAGTTTCTTGAATATCTCCCTTAGTTACTACATGCTTCAATGCATTGTATAATTCGCGTCGAGTGTTCAACCTGCAGAAAGTCTAAAATAATTTCGTTGTTTTAGATACAAAATCTTAATGTTACTCTTTTGAGTGAATATACAAGATGAGTCGCCTGAGACAAGCCACCTGAATAACTTGTACATTTTTTGAGGTAGAGAGAAATGTTTCAGACAAAATCTCCTACGTATTTCTACCTGCAAGAAAGTTATGTACATCATATAATGTATTCTTCGAAACCGAACAATTTCTGTGTGAAACATTTCTTCCTATCTTAAAAAATGTAAAAGTTATTCAGGTGGCTTGCACTAGGCGACTCACCCTATATATAATGATTAATATCAAAATGTTTGGAAAGAAATCGATTACTTTTCTACAACACCGCTAACAAATAAACAGGTATCTTCCGCAGCTGTAATGAAGTTTTTATCTGGATGTGCAATTCTAATGAACTCCGCCAAATCAGCAACTTTACATAATGTATCAGACATTTCGTCAAAAATTTCTACCATTTTTCTTTTTCTATCTCGGCTGGTACATTCTGCTATAAGTGCTTCTGTTTCATGTATTGCTTCATCTTTTAGAACGTTGAATCCATCTGCTGTTTTTAATTCAACTATACCAAACAATCCCTACGAAGCATAGGAGAACTTTTAAAATATATTATTATATACCATGTACTTATAGAATAATTGTAGGAAAACAGATATTACTTACAGTTTCTTTTTTCAGGAAATCAAATCCAACTTTTTCTGTGCTAACGGAATTAAATGCTGTTGCTAAAGATGACCATGTGTTAACATCTCTATGGTTCTTAAAATGCCTCAACAACTGTTTTTTTACTATGTGAATCATCTTTTCACAGTGTATTAAGCAAGTTATGCCAATTAGAATTATAATATTCAGTCAAGAAATAATAATAATTCTGGAGACACGAATACGGATGGCATTCGGAAATTAGGACGGGCGCTGTAATAAGAAAGAATAATACAATTTAACCTGCTTGTATTCAAATGCAGTGTATTAAAAATCGAACAGAACCGGTACTACAGAGTAGAGATATACTATTTTATTTCCATTTTCTAGAAGCAATCGGATTGCATTCTATTTATTCCTGAATGAAACTACTCCATGGACAATTTGAACTCGTTACTTTGTTTTTTACTTGTGAAAAGCACAGGACCTTCGATCACATTTTTATTCAAGAAAGAAAAATTGCATGTGCAAAAAATGGCAAGTCTCCGATTTGTTTAATATACATTTAACACTTTTTGTATTGACAGCCTCACCATTTTCATAAATCTATTTTTGAGCAAACAGTGGCGTCACTGTGTTCAACTGATTTTAACCGCAGCGTTATAGCCCAGTTATAACTGTGTAGGAACGATGTTTAATTCTTCACTGAAATCGTGTGAGAATAAAATTGAAAGTGAAAAATGAAGAGAACCGGTACAGTCGCGTTCTCATAATGAAACGATTCATAACATAAATTTTATTCAACTGATCAAATCCAGCGTTCTGAATTGAACATGACTTATTTCTGTCTACTGTAGAAATCTCTTTATTAGCAGAGAGATTATTTATTTCACTGGAAATTCTGGAGTAACTCGAACGAACACAAATGGTGAGAGTATAAATTAATTAGTCGTATATATTCGTAAGTATACCGTTGACAATCATGCGAATGAAACGAACGCTTAATGAGATTCTTATGCGCGACAGTAAGCTCAAATGGAAGGGGTACAGTGATAACTATACAAGGATATCTCCTACCGTCATTCGCATTACATGTTCTTGACAGATCTTTATTTTTTTGCGATAATTTTTATTATCTATTGAGACATACGAAAGACGTCTTTACTTCGGATTTTATCATCCCAATGGCGTATCTTTAAGTATATACCGTTTTTTATAATTGTATAATTATTCTTTTCTTTCTAATGTGGAATAATACAAACTGTGTGAATATTTCAATTTTTGATTTCATTACTTTAAAACTATGATGTCATGTATAAGTGAATCCACTTTGGTACATAGTTTCATTCGCATTCTCTTGCAATGTGTACTTTTCTTTTTCTTCCTTCTTACTAAAGATTTATAATATTAATTCCGTATATTATTTTTTCCACTTGGATTCTATGATACACAAGGATTTATTTACTGCTGCTAAGCAGTTAGCAGACAGTGAGATCGAGTTGATAAAGACTATAGAAAATTCTAAGACGGCAAATAATAAAAATATTAAAAACGCCATGTCTATGACACAGAAGAAAAGTGCAAAGCAGTCTAAAAGACCATCAAAAGTAAGTATAAATTTGTGGAAAGCACCTTTGCCAAAAGGAATAAAAATCTTACTATCTGATTCTGTTAGGTTCAGCCATCGGCTGCTCTGATGGCAGCCAAACGGGAAGCAGCACAAAAACGTGGATTGCAAGGGAAAAAGTCTAACAGTGATTATGTGCACGATATATATCAAAAAGTTATCGATGCTTATAATACAAAAAGAATGGAAACAGGTCTTGTATTTGATAATTCTATGATAGAACACAGATGTCTTTGGGATAAAAATTATCCAGAATGCCCTGAAAGATTGACAAGAGTCTTACAAAGGTGTCAAGAATTGGGCTTAATAAGTAGATGTAAATTGATCACACCAAGGAAAGCTACAGAGAGTGAAATACTCATGAAGCACAGTCAAGAGCAAATAGATATTTTGAAGGCCACTGACGAATTTATGGATACAGACACTTTAGAATTATTATCATCAAAATACGATGCCATTTATGTACATCCTGTATGTGAATATGATGCGAGATAATATTTATTTTATATCATTAAATTTTAATACTGATTCATTTAAAATTGACTTAGTCTACCTACCAAACATCTCTGTTGGCTGTGGGCTCGACGATAAATTTAGTGGAAAGCATTTGCAAAGGAGAAGTTCAGAATGGAATGGCTATTATCAGGTAATTTTTGTGAGTTTAATAAATATAAATGAAAAATTGAGAAATAATTGCATTGACAAAGAGATGGATTTGATTATCAATGTTCATATTCCAGACCGCCTGGACATCATGCAATGAAGTCAGAATATTGTGGGTATTGTTTCTTTAATAACGTTGCGATTGCTGCTGAAAAGGTGTTACACAATAATTTAGCTAGTAAAATTTTGATCGTTGACTGGGATGTACATCACGGGCAAGCTACGCAACAAATGTTTTATAACGATCCTCGGTATAGATAAATATTCTTGAAATTGTTGATTATATATTAAAATGGAATGTTATATCTGTTATTTTCCTTTCACAGAGTAATTTACTTTTCTATTCACCGTTACGAGAATGGTGAATTTTGGCCAAATCTTAGAGAATCTGACTTTCATTTTGTTGGATCTGGCCCAGGCGAAGGGTATAATTTCAATGTGCCACTTAATAAAACTGGTATGACGAATGCTGACTATTTAGCCATATTTCAACAAATTTTATTACCAATGGCTTACGAGGTAAATAATGAGGTTTTTATTACGTACTTGATTTAAGTATTGGCTTGCGAACATTTTACAAGATAGTAATAAAACTTTAACATGCGATATAAAATGGAAGAATTTCAATTATAGTTTCAACCAGATCTTGTAATAGTGTCAGCTGGTTATGACGCAGCTTTGGGCTGTCCAGAGGTAAAATAATTATTATTTGTTTGTTCTTT